TGCCTGAAGGGAACCAGTACCAAATATTTAGACATAAATCTAAAAGTAAGGCACAATTTCGATAAGTACCATTAAAAAAAAAACAAATACATGACACACAAATTGTGTTCTGAAAAGATGAGAAATATTCAGTAATGAACGCAACCAAGGATAGAAAAAAAAAGAAAATCCATATGCACATCTTGTCTGTCATTTATGCACATGTTACTAAAGCAGTAACTTAACATAAAAACACTACTGAAAACATCTGTTACAATAGTTTTTTGGAAATTTCTATATTTTTCCCTTATTTTGGTCAATCTGCTTTTTATTCTACTCCTTATCCAATCGCTAGGGTTGCTGGAATGCTGAGCATATCCTGGTTGTCATGAAAGAGACGACAGGATACACCCTCGGCGCATCGCAAGGCTAACAATGAGAGACATTCAACCACTTACGCCCACATTCACCCATTAACAACAGGCAGGCCTCTGCTGGACAGTGGGTTCAAACTTATCAAACTTTTTTTTTTGGCTGATGATTTCAGACAATCCCAGTCTTGGTCAGGAGATCAGGTGGTTAGAGCCAATATTGTGTCTCTAAGACCCTGAACTGATGTTGTGCTCATAAGTTTAGTTTTAAAGCAATAAAATAGGCTAAAAACACTTAACACTTTTAAGTATCTCAAGTATATTTATTTTGATTTCCATTAACTTCAGCAGTTTGTAGTCTTTGAGGGAGCCGCATTCTCAAAATATCTTATAATAGCATGTATAAAATATATATAAAAGTAGTTGCTTAAAATCTGGGGAAATATTTATTAAAGCATGAGGAGAGGGAGGAGCAGGATTTCAGCATGTTCTATCATATATTAGAGCTGCACGTGGTGCTATTATGTGTTTATTTTAAATTATTTCTCTTAAGTTATATGCTAAGAAAACGTTAAGCACACTAAAGATACTTTTTTAAAAACATAAATTATTAATTTATTATGAACTCAATTGAGGGAATTTGCAATTTGCCAGAGAACAAATGGCGTACAGATGAAAACAAAATATTTGGCCGTCTGATCAAAGGGCAGTAAATCAGTAAATTTCCCAAAATGTAGGACTCTACTTCAAACACAGCTGGGACCACTGCAATTAGGAACGCATATGTTTCACAGTATTTTAAGTTAAGTCAAAGTCAAGTCAAAAATACAGCTGAATCCTTTGAGTAGCTCCTAATCAGTACATCAAAGTTCATCAGGTCCCAACTGAGCGTACGTTACATAAGGGAGGCGTTCCCTACAGCAGCTCTTGGAGGCATACACAGTATGTTTGTGTGTTTGTGAGGGTGCATTCCAGCATGTTTGGCGCCAAGGCAGTCGGCTGTTATGGCTAGCAGGGGTAACGCCAGCACCAGCCGAACGATGGGCAGAGCTCTTCGTTTCCTCCGCAATCTCTCCTTCCATCACGGAGCAATCAGACCGGCCTGATAATGCTGTATCTGCAGCTGCATCTCACGGATCTCCTTGTGCTCTCCTCCCCTCTCACCCGCTGCCTTCCTACCCTCATTACCTTTACAGCTCCTCCCCGTGCACGCCTCCTCCTCCTCCTCTCGTTCGCACTTGTTAACCTCTCGTTTACATACATCTCATACATACTCCCCCCACCACCACCTCCCTTAACACTTCTTTATCTATGGCGAGCACGTCTGACAACCGCTACTGGAATTTCAGGAAATGTTAATCACCCTAAATTGGTTGTATCACCCAAATTACTTTTGAGTGCTTTGAGAAAGTTTCCGTAGCTACCATTGTGTTCGGATAGAGGCAGATGTTTTACAGGTGGATATCTCAAAATCTTGGAATTTGAAACTGAAACCATTTGCATTTTTTTTCTCTTTTTGTGGTTAACTAACCCTTTAACCTCAGGCAAACGCGCAACGAATGTGCTGCTGGATTGCTTTTTTTTTAATCTTTGTAAAACACCCTGATTAATTGTTCTTTTTTAGTGGAAACTCAGCCCATATTCCACATCTTTATCAAGCATCGATTTAATTTGTGCGCTTTAAAATCCTTAAAACTACTTGAGCTGCTAAATGAATAAAGAAACAACACATAAATGCTCTGATTAATGATCGTCTACAAAGAAGAAATGGGAAGTAGTGATCATTGTTGTTTAAGGAAGCACTGGTTGAATGCATGGCTATTTCCTCTGCGAACAATGAAAGTAGTCGATCATAAATAAAGAGCAATAAATAGAAATATCAAAAGTTACATAAGAATAGACTAATGGCAGTCTAAAGATTTACAGATAAGTCTGAGGTATGGCATTAATCACAGTGCTTTCCTGTGTTTTATTACAATGGTGTCGTAGAGCTGACAGCTTTTATTAATTGCTATAAAAATGGTTTTAAAAGAAATTATAAATCAGGTCAGCTCACAAAGTGTGAATGATGGGAATTATTTAAATTACATGCCAACATTTTTTTTTCTCCTCCGTGTGTTATAATGACACAGTCAATAAAAGAAAAACAAAGAGTCATTTAAATCAGCGACAACCTGAATATTGCTCATCTACGCACAAACAGCTTTGACTTTAAAGATATCGTGGGGATGTTTACCAGCATACAGGTGTCAAAGGTTAAAACCTCACTTTACCTCCTCCTCCCCCTCTGTGAACTCGAGTTTTCTAGCTCTATTAAGGAAAAATAAACATTTTTTAACAAGCTGCAGCGCTGACAATTGACGTTGGTTGTTAAATTTTGTGGTTCTCTGATCTCGCTTCGAGACACGGACGCAGTGCAGGAATTCCAGAACAATAGGTCTGATTCTTTGTCGAGCTTCCTCGGCTTCTAATTTTAACTAAGACGAGAGGAAGGAGGAGAAGTGCAAAGAAAGACGCCAGCAAATACTTTCCTGCTTTACTGGACAACTCGACATAGCAACAGACACACGCACGAACGTGCCGACGCAAATCTGTGATCACGCGTCAAAGAAGCTGCTGGAGGGAGGTGGTGTGCCGTTTGAATTTTTTCCCCTTTGTGTAACGAATTAAGATTCACTGCACGGAAGCTTGCACCGATTTGCATTTAGACGTGTGTGACAAATTAAAGGAAAAAATACATATGGGCTTGGTAAAGAGCTGATGTGCTGTAAGAACATCTTCAGAGCACCTTGGTATTGACACACTAAGAACTCTACTGAAGGGATGGCCAATTCTCCCAGGTTCATTCTGTTCTCCTGGAGGTAGTGAGTCCTGTCTGGAGGACTAAAATCGTACATATTTGACATCAAATGCCAATCACAGCATTGGTGGCAACAAAAGTTGCCTCAAGGTGCTTTATATTGTAAGGTAGACCCTACAATAATACATACAGAGAAATCTCCAACAATGAGCAAGCACTTTGGCGACAGTGGGAAAGAAAAACTCCCTTTTAACAGGAAGAAACCTCCAGCAGAACCAGGTTCAGGGAGGGGCGGGGCCATCTGCTGCGACCGGTTGGGGTGAGAGGAGGATACAGACATGCTATGGACATGCATATGCCTATGACTATGTTCATAACTGAAACCAAGTTAGGAGTCTCAATTTCTCCCTTTAGTTTGTCACCCATGTGCATATTTGTGTGAGTCTGTGTGTATCTGCCTGTGGCGTAGTGTTCGTACTTATGGCGAGCAGCTTGCGTGTACGGAGGAAGCTGATAGCGAGCCTCATGATGGATGCCTTGTCCAGGTGAGCGCTGACGCTGTGGGATAAAGGCAGCTGGTGGGCCAGCTCGTAGAACACCTCCGTCTCTTTGCTGCGCCTGCAGCGCGCTGCATCGCGAGACTTCTCCTTACGTCTCTCCGAGCTGCTCCTGCGCCACAAAACATGACAGACAAATGGTCATTTAAACATGAACAATGACACATAATCATACGGTTACTCTGGAAGTCAGTTGGCTTAATGAGACAGTCGGTCTTCGTTAATAATTATATTCCAGGTTCTTCTGTATCGTTCAGCAGTTAATCTTCCATGAATGCACTCACTG